ATCCAGTTTTGTTTCCATTTCAGGATCCACATGCTTCTAATCGTCGCCGACTGGACTCTAATTGTTCTGATTTTAGCGATACTTATGATGATGACCTTCTGAATTACCTTCTTATCATTTTGCCCGAAAGTGTTGAAGAAAATGAATTTGAATGTCCGGGTAAGAGCAAGGGAACATTGGAAGTTAAGCCTATTGTAAAGAAGACATTTACAGCTCTTAAGGGGGATGAACCGCAGATAATAAGGAAAACTGATTTTGCCTCTGATGAGAATGGAGGTGATTCGGTAGAACCCGATTCTGTTCATTTCAATTCATTGCAATCATTGTCATCAAACAAGATAGCTCAACATCATGCGCGAGGTCCCCCAAGTCGCGTTTTGTTAAAACATCCGAGTGGTGACCGGCATCCCAATCCAAATTACCAGTCCAGGTACTAAAGGCGTTATTTTGTATATATTTTGCATGTGTTCTATGGATGGGGAAATACTCATTCTCGTCCAGAAACCGAATCATTCATCACGCACCACTCAAGTGATGCAAATTTTTCATTTTTATCACAAATTTATCCTTGTCAAAATTAGATTTTTCTTGGCTTCTCATCCACTATTATTTTTTTCTCTCGTTATTTTTAAAGGGCAAAAAGCCATGCGGGGCTGCAAGTTCAAATTAAAAGCGATCTGGCTGAGTATGAACTAAATGTTTGGCGTCATCGCCAAAGTTCTGTGCGTCGTCTAGGTTTCGACTGTGATCTAGATGGTTTTGAGTTGGATCCTGCTCAATTATCTGACTCCCTTTCTTCTTACGGATCCGTGGCCAGTTTATATGAAAGAGTAAGTGTTACTTTTTCTTAACCTTGTGTTAAATTGTAGACATGTAGACGAAGATGGTTTGGCCTTCACTTGTTTACTGTCTTCAGCTTTATAGTGTTTGCTCTACATCGTGGAATGTACCAATTTCTGTATTCGTGATTTCTAGCATCAGCCTATTGACTTGATAGATTCCCACACGCTGCGTCATCGTAAGTTACAAGATGACAAGTGAAGGCAACCCCCTTGACCAATTTTTCATTTAGCCGTCTGTCCTACCTTCTAGTGTCTCTTAACACATTGCCCTGATCGGCCACACAATTGAATGGAGAAGGTAAGACAAAGACTAGGGATGAAAAGTGATGCCGCAACAGATGAACAGAAAATTGGTAAAGGGCATTGCCTTCCGTTGTAACATTGATAAGTTATAACTAACGCTGGCGCCTCTCGTTATCGGGGCCGGCGAAATGTCTGGGAATGTGTCAAGTCAGTGGATTGCTGCTGTAAGTCACGAATACTCTTGCAGAGGATGCAATACTAGCTACGTTTCACAAGGTCTCTGACGCTTCGTCCAAGTTGCAAAAAAGAGGTCAAATAAACTATTACATATTAAGTATTCTACAGCGAGATCACGTCTATCGTATGGCAACCTATATTCTCTTATGTTTTAAAATGTAAGAATCATAGTGTTCCCCTTATAGTCCATTTTAAATTCCATTTTTCAAGGAGTGGAATGTCAAGTAGATCTGGTAGACAGCGAGTATGCACAAATAACCCATTGTTATTCGCCTCCTTTTTCTCTCCTTGTCGGTCAAGTCCACTCGACTCTTGAGACCTCTTGCCCCGACATCTTTTCTGCTTCTTAT